GTTTCCCTCTCCCTCGCTGATGTAGCCTGCCGGAGTCCCCCGAGCCGGGCCTGACCTCTCCAGCCCCTGCCAGCTGCCCCGACCCCGTCCCCCCCGCCTTAGGGACAGGCGATCCGGAGGTGACAGGTCACTTCTTAAACCCTTTTGCTCTTCAAGCAGCTCTGCCGTGTCTGCGCTGAACTGCGTTTCGCTTTCGGTGAGATGCCTTTTAAAGGGGAAAAAATAATTGCTTTTAAAAAATAAAAAGCCCCAAAACTACCTTCAGGAAAGGTGAACAGCGCAGCCCGGCAGTGCCAGGCTTTCTGCCTTCCCGTCGCCAAGAGCCATGGCTGCTGTACACCTGCATTAGCAGATCGATCCCCGCTCCTCCACGCATCCCTGATTTGCCTGATGTAAATTAAACTGTCTGCTTTATTTAAGTTAATTGCTTTACAGACACGAACTGTGGAGTCGGACAGTCTCACAGAATTTGCTCCTGTAATCTAATATTGCAAGAAGGAAGTTTAGTGCTATTACAGCTTTTTATTTTTTGCGCTTTTTTTGACAATCATTTCGATTTGGCTTTCAGCCACTTCCTTTCCTTTGCGATAACACCGAATTAATTTGATTCCTAACGTACTGGGAGAGGGCCCGGGAGGAAAGCAGCCCGCCCGTTGTCATTCCCTGCTTAGCTCCGTTTGCGATTTTCATGTTACCCTCAAGGACGCTGGAAAAGCATGAAAAGAAGCGTGTGCTCCTATCCGGACCCCCTTCTCTAAAACTGCCCTAAACCCCAGACTTAGCCAAGGCCTAATCTTCTCTCCATGCATTTTTTTTCCCCTTCTAAATTCCTTCTCTTTCTCTGTTAAATCAGCGGTTCGTGAGACCTGCAAAATAGCTTTGTAGAGGACTTTGTAAAGCTGGGGGGGGTTCAGGTCCGGTGATTTCAGCGGGATTTGGGGCGGAAAATGATGATCAGGGCAGGGAAGGTCCTTCAGCCTCGATCGACTTCTCGATTTCCCAGCTCCCGGCGCTCGGCCCCCTCGAAGCCGGTGTGGCAGCGAGAGGCAGTGACCGGTTCTCCAGCAAGAATCCCGTCTGTCTGTGGACGGTTTTGACAATAGAAATAGCTACTCGATTTATTATTACTAATATTACGGGTGGGATGAACCGGAGAAAGAGTTGTAAAAGTTAGATTTTTTTTTTTGAGCAACACGGAGAAGGAACTGTCTCCAAGTTACGATTTTTGTCCGACATTGGGCGGGAAACGGAGGATAAACGGAGAAAAAAAACCCCAAAACATCGAAATAAATCACTGCAGCGAGTGCTTGAGGACTGGCACGGGATAAACGCAATTACAGGGTCTGCGGTGGCGACGGTCCCTGTTTCTTATCAGAGCTTGGCAGTCACTTGGGGGATGGTGAGGGAAATAGCCCTTGAACACTTGGGTGTATTCCGGGGGAAATATTTGTCCGAGATTTAATTTAAAAGCATGTTTTTGCGGTTTCCCCCGTGAGTAGCAGAAGTCGGGCCGGGTCGGGCTAAGCCGAAAGCCGGACAGGACGCTGGGACAGGGAGCGAGCCCCGGAGCCAGAGTCCCCCCGTGAGCCCCATCGCTCCTGGAAGGAGCTCCCTTTAGCTGCGTCTTTGGAGAGCTTCACTTCGGAGGAAAAAAAAAAAAAAAAAAAATTGTTTGTGTTTGAAAAGAGAGCGGAATAAGGGGGTGACCGGTAGTGAATTTCGGGTAGATTTGGTGTAGTTTGAACTCAGTGTAGTTTCAGGAATGAACCGGCTGTCACGGTGAGCACTTCAATTATTAAAATGCTCTCGTGTGATCATAAGACGGGTATATTGACAAGCTGTTTTCTAAGAGGGCTTTATTATTCACTTTCAGTATCTAGAAGAAGAGTGAGAAGTTCAACTTTTTCTGCTGTAGCTGTTTCCTCCCTCCCCTTTCTGAACTTTTGAACACTTTCCTCGTGGGATTTTTAAATTTTTTAATTACTTCATGGTCGAGTTTATTTTAAAAAATAAAAGAGGAAAGGGGTCCAGAAAACATGACATACAAATACTGACAAGACACTACAGTACGTAAAAAATTTAGTAGCCTTGTAAGAGCAGCCTGTGTGTCATTTTCTGCATCAAGCTGAGGAGCCAGGGTGGCTTGTTGTATGCCCTGGGAGTGATTCGAAACACAGCCAATTTGCTAAGCTTTTGAAGCCAGCTGCCTGCTTTTTAATCATTATTTTGATTGCAAAATTTGTAGTGAAATGCAAAATGAATCTAAAGACAAGTCAGTGATGTGCCATCCCGGGCATATGTGTCTAACCTGGTTGGGCTTATTAGGCAAGCATAGAAGGTAGTAGATTTCCTAACTTGTATTTGCTACAGATGCTGCAGCTATGTGTTGGTTCGGGTTTTTTTTAATTGGCAAATGTCGTGAAAGCTACAAGTTATATGAAAAGTGCACTGCTTTCTTTTTTTTTGATACTTGTTGAAAAACATACAATAGTCCTTGCAAAGAAAAGTTATTAAGCAGAGGAAAGATTTACTCTTGAAGAATAAACAGCAAGAAAAAACCCCAGTTTTCTAAACCACAAAAATTATCAAGCCCGCTTCAGCTGTCAGGAAAAAAGTTAGGGTTGACTTGTTGCTCTTGGTGGAGAAATCCCAGAGCGGGGCTAGACTGGGCTGGTCTCTTGCTCCGCTGTCCTTTCGTGAATCTCCTGCTTTTACATATATGTTTGTCCTGTGCTTTGCTGGAGTTACTCCTCCAGTTCTGCAGCTACCAAGACACTGTTTGGTGTGCTCTAGACCCCTATGATGTGACTCCTGAAGCAATCTGCTATGTGTGTATCTGAATCCTCTGTGCTCTGTTTGCCTGCAAGGTGTCCTTTTGAAATCACTGAGGCAAAATTTCACTTCCCAGGATGTCTGCTGAAGTCCTGCAAACATAAGTTTGGCCAGAAAAAGATTTCCTGAGCCACTTGCAAAATGATCCCCTGTTTTGAGGCTGTTACCTGGCAGGACGCTCCCTTCACATATCCCTCCCTTCTTGCCCAAGCCCTCTCAAGCATGACATCTCTCCAGAGCACCCAGGTCTCCCTGCTTTTGTGATAACCAGCCTTTCCCTTCCTTTCAGGACACCTGAGCCCCACTGCCTGCACCCTGAGGAAGCACAAGACGAATAGGAAGCCCCGAACCCCATTCACCACTTCCCAGCTGCTGGCTCTGGAGCGCAAGTTCCGCCAGAAGCAGTATCTGTCCATCGCCGAGAGAGCAGAGTTCTCCAGCTCCCTCAACCTCACAGAGACCCAGGTCAAAATCTGGTTCCAGAATCGGAGGGCCAAGGCCAAGAGACTGCAGGAAGCTGAGCTAGAGAAGCTCAAAATGGCAGCAAAGCCCATGTTGCCATCGGGGTTCAGCCTCCCTTTCCCTATCAACTCTCCCATCCAGGCTGCCTCACTGTATGGAACATCCTACCCTTTTCACAGACCTGTGCTTCCTATCCCGCCTGTTGGACTCTATGCTACTCCCGTTGGATATAGCATGTACCACTTATCCTAAGAAGATCAGAAAGACAAAATGAGACAGACTTTCTGGTGGATCATGTCCAACCCTGAGAAGGCAGTACCTCAACCAGTACTGGCCATTCTTTCTGCACGCTTCTATCTGCCATCCTGAGTGTACGGGAGTTTGCGTTAGCAAAGCAAGGCATCCTGTATGCTATGGGTTGGGTGTCTTCTGAAAGTGCTCTGAATGCTCAGATTCTGATCCTCAAAGAAAAAAATATGTAAAAACAAACAAACAGAAAACCCACAAAAAAAAAAAACATTCGAGCAAATGTAGGGTTTTTATACAGTGCACGTAAAACTAGAATAAAAAAGAACGGGTCAAAAAGCAATCTCATCTTACAGAGGCAGAGATTTCCCAATGCCTTCCTGATGGGGCCCAACACATGTTTAAAGTAAGAGGGGTGCATGCCCTAAACCCACACTTTAAGTTGCCATCACTTAATATGGGGGCAGGGGGGAGGGAAATAAAAAGGTATAATCAATGTTTTGTTGTTTGGTTTTTTTTTTTTTTTAAAGAAAGCAGAGCCCTTAGCTAGAGACACCGTGTAAATAGAAACTAGACCCAGTAGAGTCTGAATGAAGTTCAGAGCCAGCAAGTGCCTCTGTTTCTAGGGGTAGGGAAAATTTTCACATCCCAAACCTCGACAGATGTTTGCAACAAGATGAGCGTCAGGGCCCCTAAATGTAGAGTGCAGCTTTATCCACCATTGGCTCCTGTAATGCCTTTGTCTGTATAAATAGCTTCAGTGTTTGTAAAGCACTGTGAGGGGAGGTAAAGTGCAAGGGAGGGTTATTAGGCAGTCTAGTCTTTATCTCTTCCTATTGGCATGCTCAGAAATTTTTGACTACAGCCAGGTAATCTTGGCTCTGCAATGCTCTTTGAAAAACCAGGAGAGAGGGAAGGAACTTTCTGGGGAAAGAAGACGTGGGTTGTTTCCACAGTGGTGGTGAGCAAAGGATTGTTGAACACTTCTGGGAGGTGTTTGGGGGTTTTTATTAGTATTTGCAAAAGTCTGTATTAAATAGAAGACCCCCCCGAGTCTTCCTCTCCTTCCCTTGCTAAGGATGCCAATATAAGTGACTCATGCTTCAAGTCCATCTTAAGCGAGATCCAGGTATCACAAACAAACAGCCCTACTAGTCGGATGGTGGGGTGCCAAGAGACTGCGTAACCTGTCTGTCCCCGTGGGAGCTCCTCGAGCGCTGGCAGTACCTTCCCCAGGCTTCTCTTTATAACTATTGTATTATCTGTATTACTCTTGCTAAACTTTGTGAGAAAGTTACTCCAAAGGCTGTGGAGCACCGAAGGCAGAGCTTCTCCTGGATTTATTTTCTTAGAATGTTGTTGTGGAAGAAAACAAGAAACAAACCAAAAAAAAAAAAAAAAAAAAAGGCAGAAAAACAAACAAAAAAAAAGCCACCAGGTTTTGCTGGTTTTGGTTTGGTTTGATCCAGGCACTGTCGCCGTCTGGGACCCACTATAGATGAACTTCCCCTCTCCCTTCCCCTCACCCCTGATCTTCCATTATAGGAAAGTCCCTTTGAAAGGGATGCCTTGTACAATTTTATATATTTTATTGAAGATTTATTATTTCTTATCTCTTATTTCGAATTAAATTAAAAAAGAAAAAACATGTTTAATCGCGTGTGGGTCTGTGAGTGTTTGGAGTTCTTTAAAAAGTAATTTCTCTCCGTGTGTGTTTTGCACCGCTGGGTCAAGTTCAAAGGAATGTTTGGGTTGCCTTTATGATGATTTCCCCTTTCTGAATCTGAATTAAAGCCAAATTTGCAGCACATGAAGGTGAATTGCAAGTCAACAACTCAAAGTCGAAAGCCAAACCTTTTATGAGGTTTCCTTGTTTTTAACAACCGCTTTTAGGCGCCTCTGTTCTTTACAACATCATACTCCGGTGATGGCTCCATCACTTTTCTCAGCTCGTGTGCTTTTCTCTTTGCTCAGGACTTGCCCTCCAACTCGCCTTTCCCTTGTCCTCAAATTTGTGCCTTAGTGGGAGACTAGTCTCGACCCCGGCATAGCTAGGGGTAATTTTGTACAGGTAAGACCTGGCAAGGACCCTGCAATACTTCAGTACAATTGCATTTCAGGGCTCCCATGTACTTTAGCACTGTCCCGTTTTCGGGGACAGTCCCTCCCTCAAGGGACGGGCCCGTGTTCTGCCCAGCGAGCAGATGCTGCGGCACCCGTCCCTGCGCTTTCCGGCGAGGGGGACTGGGGTTTGCTCTGCTAAGGGGGTACCCGGGAGGTCCGGAGTAATTTACCGTGTGACACCCAGATCCCATGCTGGCCCTATGTAAATGTTGTTGGAGGCGACTTAGCGGGATTAGGAGCGACCTTTGGGATCCCAGCTGGAGAAGAAGGTGCCTTTGCCCACTAAAGGTGCGTTTGCCCATCACACGGCCGGGCGGTGGAACTCCGCCGCGCTCGGCCCAGCCCCGCGGCTCCCCCGAGGGAGGGTCCCCCCCATCGCCCTCAGCGCCCTCCCGGATCGGGCCGCGGCTCTGCCGGACGGACATGGGC